CTGTATGTAGACGTTTTTGAGTTATAAATATGATTAAGTTTTGTGGTTTTCATTATAAATAATATGTTATACATTTTTTATGTAAAATATTAAAATAATATAGACTTGCAACATTTAGGAGCTGAGATATTATCATTTTTTGGGGTGTATGGTAGACTTTATTGTATCACTGTATACAGGTGTTTTAAAACAACGTTTAAATATTTAGGGGTAGTACTACAGTCGAAAACAAGTCAAAAAGTGTTAATGTCGTTTCCGAGATACAGGATGATCAAATTTTTTGGGACTCTACGTTTTTCTTTTAAACTGTAACTACTACAGATTTGATACTTAGAAAATCGATACAGTATGAAACTGTCTCTTTTTGAGAGTAGTATGTTGTTTTCCTTGCTTCCGATTGAACCGGAAGTGAAGATAAATACCACTATTTTTCAGAAAATTCAAAAATTTTATTTAACAATTGGTTAGATGTTTAATTCTAAACAACATTAATTACAAAACAAAATGTGTATTGCTGAAAGTTTCCGAGAAAGAACACAGTTTTTAAAGTAAATTATTAGAAAAATTGAATTGACACAATGTAATACTAATACTTTCGGTTTTATAAGTTTCACAAAACGTACAAGGTCATAAGCTTCATCAAAACGAAGCTTTTTATTGAAGATGTTCAAAATGTCGACCTGCAATATCAATACAGTTTCTAATTCTATGTTCAAAGGAAGCCCGAACTCTTTCAAATAATTGTCCGGCAACCCTGTTTTATTCGTTGCCGCAAGTCTTCAAGATCGTTTACAGATGTCGCGTATTCTAAACCTTTTAAGTAGCCCCACAAACAAAAGTCTAATGGGTTAAAATCCGGAGACGTGCAGACTGCAATGGGGCCCCCTCGCCCTATCCATCTTACTGGAAATTTTTCATTCAAATGTTTTCTAACTATACGCGTAAAGTGCGGGGGAGCTCCATCCTGCATAAACCACAAATTTAGTTGTTGATTTAACGGTAAGTTTTCCAAAAGTTGAGTAAGAGTGTATTCCAAGAAATCAAAGTATGTTGGACGGGTTAATAGTTCACATAGCATTTCCATTGTTAAGGCCGTACATAAACACCATATCGTCCATTTCAGCATTTGAATACAAGACCATTGCAATCGATTTCATTTCAGGTTTCGCAAAGTCAAATCGGAAAACTTTATAATGGAATAAATTATACCAACCGGAAGCAATGGAGACATTATACTACCCTCAAAAGGAGACAGTTTCATACTGTATCCATTTGCCAAGTATCAAATCTGTAGTAGTTATAGTTTAAAAGAAAACCCGTATAAAAAATGTCCCAAAAAATGTTAACATTCTGTATCTTGAAAACGGTTGATTTGCGGACCCATGTTCATTAACATTTTTTGACTTGTTTTCGACTGTAGTATAGGGATGCAACATCGCTCATAAAAACATCGATATTAGAACATCGATGTTTTCCAAAAATGAAACATCGACGTATTATACCGATACATCGATGTTAAAAATAAATAACAATAATAATAACTTTATTATCATAAATTTAATCACTAAAACTAGAGACAAAATGATGACGATTTGTTTAAAAATTTTTGAAGAAAATAATCTAGAGTTTGATTTTGTATTTTTAAACTGGTTTTTATTTTGTATAGAATTTAAGTCTAACCAGTTTCGGCCCTTGGCCATCTTCAGAGACTCTACAAATAGATTAACATCTCTCATCTTATCCATTTTACAAACAAGTTTCTTAATATTTCTTTTTGTTTTGTTAAAAAAGATCACATATCAATGTCGAAATCAGATTATTAGTTACTAATTTACAAAATTAAAGTTTAAAAAGTTGTAAAATGAAACTAAGGACGAAGTGTTACAAGTTTACAGATTAAAATTTAAGAACGCTCTTTTTTAACGAAAGAGATATTAAGAAACTTGGGAAAAATTCAAGAATCATCTTTTTTTAATCAATGTGAAATGACCCAAAAAACACGTTAAAAATATAAAGAAAGTGCGGAAAAGTGACTAACAGTTATAAAACTTCTATTACATGATAATTAACTTCAAGTTTAAAATGTCAACCTCACTTTTGACATATTTGTAATCTTCATTAAAAATCCTTTAAAATGAGTGCAAACACGACATATTTATCTTCAATATTAATGAAGTTATGGTCAACTTCCGGCTAAGAATGTCAATTTTGACATATTTGTAATCGTCGTGAAAAATCCTTTAAAATGAGTCCAAACATGTTATATTTAATTCCAATATTAATCGAGATAAAAGCAACTTCCGCTTGGAAATGTCAATGTCATTTTGACATATTCATAATTTTTATAAAATGTCTTAATATTTGTCACAAAAACAAAAGTATAATAAAAAAAATAAAAAATTAAGGTTGGTATTAATATTTAAAAATTAAATTGCTATCTTCATTGTTGCTAACTTAGGGTTTAATGTTTTTTATTCTAACTTTTTTGTTTTTTGAGATAAGTGCGTCATCTTTGGCCTCATTTTAAAGGTTTTTTAATGAAGATGACAAATATGTCAAAATTGACGTTGACGTTTCAAACCGTGTGATTACATTTCCATTAATATTAAAGTTAAATATGTCGAGTTTGGACTCATTTTAAAGGATTTTTATGAAGTTGACAATTATGTCAAAATTAAAAGTACGAATTTTTGGGTTTTTTGAGATAAATGTGTCAAGTTTGGACTCACTTTAAAGGTAATAATAAAATTCAAGTTGACATTGACAACTGAAAGTTTTTTTCACGACTAAACCCGAATGTTTCTAGTTCTCGTTCTAGTTTTAGTTCAAGAAAAATATACAATATAGTAATATCTTATGCTAACTAGCGCTACATCCACTTCCACTAGAACTAACACTAGACCGTGAATTAGAAACATTCGGATTTAGTCCCACGTCTCTCAAGACGGTTAAACCCGAATGATTCTAGTTCTAGATCTTGTGTTAGTTCTAGTGTAAAATTACACCTCTCACATTAGTCCTAGAACTGGAAATATTCGGTCTAGTGTTAGTTCTAGTTTTATTGCAATAAAAATGTGCAACAGTGATATCTTATGCTAACTAGCGCTACCTTCTGCTGTCATTTGTAAAATGGATAAGATGAGAGATGTTAATCTATTTGTGGAGTCTCTGAAGATGGCCAACGGCCGAAACTTGTTAGACTTAAATTCTATATAAAATAAAAGACAAACTTTCAATTTTATACTAACATCTAAAAAACAACACTGACTCGAAATTGTAGGTTCATCTATTTTTTCTATTGTAGAATTTCTTGGTGTATCTAAGTGTCGTATCTAATGGTAAGTCGGTTCTTAGACGTATGATGCAAATCGGACTTGAAATCGTATAACGCGATTGGCGCTTAGCTTTATCCTTTAAAACAAATAGTATTTTAGGTCTCTCGGTATTCTGTATTTTTTCTAAGATGTTACACCTTTACTTACCAGACAGCATGAAAATCTCTAAAAACGATAAAATGTCGCTTAGTCAAGTGATGTTGTGGTTCATTTATTATAATATGATAAAACACATAGATAATGTTATTTAAATTTATTTTTAAGTATAGAATTCAAAAACCTTAACTTTGACAACCTGATAAGCGATTCCTTTCCTGATTAATTGTTGCGCCAACTTCTGTGAATAATCGTTCGTTAGACACTGAAGTTGCTAACAGTGGCAAATATTTCATTGCTCTTTTATACAAAAATGGAAATAATAGTCGATTATTTTATCAAACATCGAAGATAAAATATCGTTCATAATGAACGATGTATCGATGTTTTATGGACTTCAACATCGCTATTAAAACATCGATGTTTATGGACGATACATTGATGTTTTGTGGTACTGTAGTACCACCCCTATAAATATTTAAACGTTGTTTTAAAACACCTGTATGTAAATATACCGATGTATAAATAATACTCAAAGTATGACTTAAAAATATTTTGTCCGTTATAGCGGAAGTCCGTTCTAACCAGGTCCGTTATATCGAGGTTTTACTGTGCTTACAACATAATATATTTTTAATTTTCATTAATTTAAATAACTTTGTGTCATAACCTCAATTTTTGTGTACTTTGTTAATAATGACAGATAGGTGACAGTTAAAATGTCAAATCTTATCCCTATCATTTTTCTAAATGATTTTAGATGAAGAATCAGTTAAAAATGAAAACAAATGTTTTAAAAATTGCTCTTTTTCTCATCATAAAATGTAATTAGTTATTTTATTTTAAAAACAAATCTACAAATCGAAAACATTTTGAGTAAGATATCGTCTAAAATCGCAAAGTGCCCAATTTATTAAGCAAACACCTGTACACCAAAAAGCAATAATAAATACGAGGCTAATATTAGCGAGAGCACATCAACATTGAGATCGAAGTTTGTAGTAAGATTACTTTGAAAATGTACATAACACGACGTCTTAAGTCTAGAAGGTTGCGTTACAGCCGTTATTTTTGTTCATAACCTCTTAACAACAATTGATAAGATTAGTTGTTGTTAAAATGAAAAAAAAAGCATCTACTTTATAGTTGATGTATAATACATATTTTATAGCGCTTGCGCTGGTCGCTTAAGGGATAAGTCAAAATGAAAAATGACACTCTCGTCGTGTGGTCTTTCCAAAAATAAACTTATTCTAAACAACTGGGCCCCGTTACATTTACATGTTAAAACCCCTACTTTAAAATGTGCATACCTAACCTATTTTATGCATTATCAACGAAACTTCTTGCTACAATATTACCAACCTTTTTTTACTTTTTTTTTAAGGTTAAACAATAATTAAGTAATTTTTTTAATCATAACCTACTTATTTTTTTATAACCAAAACAATTTTAAACACAATATTTATTTACATTTAAACATATTTAAAGTTATGAATAAAAAAACCCTATTCAAGAAAGGCATATTAAATCTAATTAACCTACAAATGAAAATTAAGAATTATTAACCTTTTTAGATGAAATGTAAAACTAAAGATATTCTTACAGCATCCAAGAATATTGTCATACAACACAACTAACTTTTTTATCACTTGGTATGAATCATCACGATCAGCAACGTTTTTCTTTTTCGTTATATTCTTCTCTTATTCGGTGTAAAACACCCCGGAATCGGTTTAATAAAAAACAACACGCGGCGTTTGAAACGTTAGTTTTGTTCGTAACGAATTTACCGAGAGCTTAACGTTATTGTAGAGCCGGCCGACCCGTGACAACAGTTTACATTGATAAATCTCTGGCAAATTCTCGATGTAAATAAATGGACATACACACTGCTTCACCTATTTCAACGACTGAACCGCACCGTTTCACAACAGATGGCGCTATACACCAATCCGCATAAATTAATTACAAATCGATTCTCTTTCGAGCTTTACGTACTCACTGTATATTTTATTACCCATACAACATACGCGCCGTGTGACTCATACAGGAAGTTGATATTAGGGTTAGGTGTTGTTAAATAAATATTAAACGAAATCGACGGAAGAATGTATAGATTTTGTGCAAGCAGGAAACGTATTGGTTATGAGCAATCCTAGTTTATCAGATTAACGGCAAACAAAACAGTTATTTTAAGTCGTTATTGTTTTTGGATTATCATTATAAATTAAAGAGATTTTATTACAAAAATTAAAAAGTTGTTATTTGAGATGGTAGCGCCATCTATTGGAATTTGAAAATCAAACTAAGTCGGGAATGAACTCCCATTTATGATTTCCTTTAAGGGGGCGTTTAAATGGCTATTTTTATATGTGCCGGTAGAGGTTAGTTTTTACCCAAAATACAACTTAATGGCAAATTATTATGGAAAAGTGAATAGACAGAATTGAAGTACACACATTTTTCTACACATTAAAGCGTTGTAAAATTGCTGTATTTGTAACATAAAAAAAATCCTAAAGTTTGTCATAAATAACACTTGATGTAAAGCTACTTTTACGAGAAATTAAACATTAAATTGAGATGCCAACGCTTCAAGGATACTAGTAGAATGTAGGAAGAGGTTACGTGTAAGTAGATGTAAAATTGAATTGTTATTATCTCGAAATTTGGGTAAAACGAAAAATGTGCGATTTCATCAAAATATTGGGAATTCGTAAAGAAATCTATATAAATCAATAAAACAAAGCTTTGCCATCCGCCTCATAGATGGCGCTAATTATTAAAATTTTTTTTCAATGTAATTTAGTAAGTGGTTTGCGGATATTATGCGTATATTAATTGTATCGATGTTTAAAAAACAATATTAATCCAAAATAAAAGGCGAAACATAGTAACATAAATAATAGTATATTATTCAATAAGCGTGTAATGGTGGCTGTTACCCACGAAGAAGTTGCAACACGAGCGAGCGAAGCGTGCAAGTGTTGTAATCTGAGTGACTACGTCATGAAATTCTCCATATAATGTCTTAGTTATAATACTTCACCTATAATAAAAACCAAAATAATTACACTTGCTGGTTTTATGATATTTTCAATTTTGGCCTCTAGGGGAAAAACAAAAGACGATAGCGCTTTGAGGTTTTCGGCATTAGCTGTTTCTCGAAAAACGAGATCGTGACATGTAAGCTACTTTTTTTCTAACTCTTATAGTTTCCGAGATAGCCTATTCGAACATCGAATTTGAACCAGCCTGTACTTGGTCAGATTCGCATTGATGTTGTTTTGTTCTCCATTTTAACGTGTCGCATTTTCATTGCATTTTTAACTATTTACTTTTCAATTTATAGTGTGTTTAATGTATCTCTGTGATTTATTTATTTACTGAAAGAACGCGTAATTATTTGTAAAAAACGAAATTGTCGGTTCGTCTTGATATGATTGTTGAACCCGGATGCGTTGGCTTCATTATGGATAAAAAGTTCTTTAAAAAAAGAAAACTGAAATGAATATTCAAGTTGTTTGTATAGCAGTTTGAAAATTATTAGCGAAAATATATTTTCTAATCCAAACTTCTAACCGTTAAAAGTTTTTTCTAAGTAACTTAAGTACTTACTACTTAAAGTATAAAGAAATCATCGTGATAAATTGCATCAAAATCGACAAGCAATATTCGCAAATAAATTAATTTTGAAGGTAGTTAACCGCAGTTAAATATTATAGGACTTATTTTACTTATATTACGATTTTTTTCAAAATAATCTTCAAACCTGTAAGTTTTATCACATTATTCTTACGGAGAGGGATTATCTATTTTATCCCGTAACGTCGCAGGGGATGGTCAGAAGCAAATGGGGGGTACTTAATGCCGCCAAAATCGACAGGGCAGTTTTTAAAATATTCCAAAAACTAGGGGTACTTTACCCTTTGAAGCCCTCAGATGTATGTGTGATATATCAATGAAAAGCTCCTTAAAAATGAATATCAGTTTCATTTACCACATTTCGATAGTACATACCGTTCGTTCCGATTTCCATTCTTTATAATTCACACAGGAGCTTTATTAGTACGTATAAAAAAATACATAAACCTTATTTTGGGCCATACTATCGCTGTACCAAATTGCAACGAAATCGGTACGGGACAGTTAGACACTTCCTTTGTCTGTATCAGTCTGTTTTTGAATTAAAAAAAATAAAATAATAAGTAAAACCTTTTATTACATATTTATATAAAAATACAAAATGCAAGGTCGATCTCACACATTTAACATGAAAAACTGATCTCCTTTAACTGGTACTTATTTTTGAGTTTCTTAAAATTTCATTTAAATAATACAGAATTTCTTCAGCAATATAGAAACGATTTTTAACTTTTGGGGTAACACATTCTTCAATCAAATCAAATAATTGCGGGTAATGAATCAAGATGTATCTTGGCGGAGAAACTAACAGCCCATATTTGGACATTGGATAAGGAGCTTGTTTACTTAAGATTAACTAAAAATGAATAAAAAAAATTGAAATCTTAAAAAGTAAGGGATATAATAAAAACTTACATAACATATTGCATAAATATTATGATCACTTCTTTCATGTTGACATATATCTTGAGTAGAAAATGCAAATCCGTCACTATCATGAATATTTTCACTTTTATGTACTTCATCGAGTCCTAAAAAAATTGGATTAAAACTGTGTTTTATTTAATTTTATCAAATATAAAACCTGATTGAAACTTTTTTTGAATAATCAAATTTTCCAAATCAACAAAAGTTAACTGTAAATTATCATCAACCGCAATATTATCAGATGAAATATCAGTTAAATAAAATCGATATTTTGAATGATTATCAGTCAAATTTTGAGCTGCATAAAGTAACTGAACTGCCAAATAAGCCCTATCCATCCATTCTAATGTATCCTGTTCATACAAGGTTTTTCCTCTATGTTCTTCAACAATGATACGTCCACAAGAACCATAATATTTAGGAAAAGGCCAGTTATCCTCAGATTCTAATAATTGCAGTATTAAAGGTTCAACATTAATTTCTAATGTAGTCCAAACATTTGTCAAATATTCATTATAATCAACGTTTTTCCTCAATTTTAATATATCGCCAAATAAATCTTGACCGGTTTCAGGAGTACAGACTTGAAACGAATGCGTAGTATTACGATATTTTAAAATTTCCAAAACAATTTCCTCGTAATTTCGATTATCCGTCACGAGATTCAAATCGCAATCTTCCGAGTTGGTGAAAACACTACACAATGCACTATCAAAATGTTTTAATTCATCGTTTGAAGCTAGTTTTTTAATCACAACGTCTATGTTATTTAAATCACCGTAATAAACATTTTTTGCGTTAAAGAGATTTAATATTTTACCGAAAAACCCATTATCCAAAGAAACATCGTTTACTTCTTTGCAAAATTCTTTTCCGTAACAGTATGGACATTTAGATTGATCTGTTAAATCCGAAAGAGATGTCATTAAGTAGGCGCGGAAAACAAAACTGGTTATAATTCCTAGGAATATTATTAAGACAATAGATGAAATTACATGACACATGATATTTTGTTCAAAGTTTACTTTAAGAGTGCTTTATGGCGAAATGAATAAAGTTCTTTTACCCACTTTTCTAGACGTGCTTCTTCATTAAGAAATAACTGAAACAAAAAAATAATATTATAAATAAAATATTAAAATAAATAAAATATGGTAGATTAATCAACAGCAATGTTTATCTTACATCCAACTTGAAATAAAAGTATTTAGAAAGTGGTGTGCATACATATAATATTTATGCGTGTGAATTCACTAATATATGGATATAGTATATATTTCTTTAATTTAATATCTACACCGAGGGAAATATTATATTCTTGAACGAAGATTATTACTCGGCACAAGCTTATCATATTCTTGTATATCCACAAGATCATTTTGTTAAGTGAAGAAAAACCATATATTCTCAAAGCAAGTATACAAATATTCTTGATTTTCAAGAAAACGAATTCTTAGTGAAAGTAAATCAATCATTATGAAAGGAGTATCTTAGTGTTGCGTCAACAATCCCATTTTCGTATCGAGAATAAATTTCTTATGTCAAAAATAACGTATCTTTCTTTTTAGAAAAACTTGTTCATGTAACAACAATCTTGTATAATTCTTCATTTGAGTATTATAAATTATTGACGCAAGAATGAATTTTTTGATACAAAGAATTGATATTCCTCGATGCTAAGAATATGAGACATTTCATTCGATAATATTTCTATTCTTAAAACAAAAAAATATTTTTGTTTTAAGAGTATCTTATACTTGTTTCTAAGAAATACATTCAAGAATAAACGTACTCCAATATCACTATCGACAATAAGTCGAATTGAGAGTAAATTTCGCGAACTTGGTCATGTAAGAGATAAACCTAAGACCGGACGTCAATTGGATGTCCTGTTAAGTGTAGAGGAAAATCCGCATTCAAACATCTCCAATATTGCTGCAAATTTAAATACATCTAGAAGCACAATATCAAGATTTCTAAAGAAAAAAAAAATATCACCCCTACAAAGTACACGATTTTGATCGACGTGTGCAATTCTGCGAAACAATGACGGAATTTATTAAAAACATTCTATTCTCCGATGAAGCAACATTTTGTTTAAATGGCACCGTCCATAAGCAAAACTGCCGTTATTGGGCAGCAGAAAATCCCCATTGGAAAGCCGAGGCAAGTACACAGTATCCCCAAAAGGTGAATGTGTGGCCTGGAATAGTGGAGAACAGAATTATTGGACCGTATTTCAATAACGGTAGGCGGCCTTCAATTAGAATTAATTCCAAGTTTACTTGCAATTTTTCCAAATGCAGAAGATCCAAATTCACTACATCCCAGAATTTGGCTACAGCAAGATGGTACGTTGTACGAGAATACCTCAACCAAAAATTTCCCAATCGGTGGATTGGCAGACGCGGACATATTGAATGGCCCTTTAGATTATTTTCTTTGGGGTTATTTAAAATCTAAAGTTTATTTTAATAAGCCTGATAACCTAGAAGATCTGAAGCAAAAAATTAGAGAAGAAATTCAATTAATCGGCCCGGATATGATTCAAAACGTTCAAGAAGCATTTGTCTCCCGATTAAGATATTCCCTTGCCGCTAACGGGTAGCAATTTGAACATTTGAATTAATGATGATTATTGCTTTCTATCGTTCATGTTATTTTTGTAAAGTTTTAAAAAAATGTTTAATTTTTTAATGCGTTTGATGCAACAAGCTATTGCTACTTTTGTATCTCAAGTAAAATAGTAATAATAATTAATTTAAATAAATAATTCAATTCAAATTGAATTTTGACACTTGAAAATGTCAAATCAAAACAATTGGTTGCCATGGTTTCGCACTGCTACTGCTATTTTCTATATCAAATGAATGAGAAATAATAAAACTTTAAATTAATTTTTCTCGAAAATTTTCTTATGTAACCGATATTAATATTTATTGCACATAATTCAAAAAAAAATTCTCTTTCAAATTCCGATATAAAAAATGGGGTGTTAGATTAAAAAAAACTTCGATGACGTCAAAAAATTGTAAAAAATTTAAATTTTTATCGAATCGATTTTATCGAATTTATCCGTTACTTTTGAAACGCACTGTATATTTATAGAAGAAAACATATTAGTATAACAAAAGTTTCGTACTTTGAGAATATAATTAAATAATGAAAATGCTGTTAAGTTTAGAGGTAACGGAGTTGACAAATAATAATTTAATTCCAAGTTTTGTTCCTAACATCTTAACTATATATAGTAGTACGTTATAGCGTATATACAACGCTATAACGTAGAGCTAGCTGTTCTATACTCCATAGATCCAAGTTATAGTGTGAGCAAAGCTGGCCAGGTTCACAACACAGACATGTCAGTTCTCTGAAAGTTAGTCTATTCCTTAGTTTATTGATCCAGGCTACTTTCATCGCACCTTTAAACGTAGGAATATTTTCTGGGATCAGTTCGTTGATAATAGGGATTAGTTTTTCATCGATACGAAAGATCTTGATGCCTTTTATTGAGTTTTGTAAGACTTTTACTAATGTGTCGTAATCTGGTGTGGATGCTTTTAATATACAACTAAGGTATGAAAAGTGTGGTAAGGTTGCTTGACAGACTTTACCACGCCGCAATTATATCTAAGATATCTGATGCTTTAACGAATGTTTCTACCTTGTTGGGTAAAAAAGTTTTTTTTTTGCATTATCGGATAGATGTTTTAAGAATATGCACAAAATTTTAAGTTAAAATCTGTTAAATTGGAAAAGTTATCAGCGATAAACACCTATTATGTTTGTCTGGAAAATGCGTGTACTGCTGCAAAACCCACCCGTCGGTGGTGGGTTTTGCTTCTTGGAAAAGCTGCAGAGGAAGAAAGGACAAAGAATGCTGCAACAGGAAATGAGCCATCTCATTTGACCGTCTCAGGAGATGGAACTTGGAGTAAGTGAGGATTTTCATCATTGTTTGGCGTAGTTACTTTGATTGGGAAATGTTCCAATAAGGTTTTAGACTTGATGGTAAAATCCAAATTTTGTCAAGCCTGTAATCACTGGAGTAGCAAAGAGGGCACTGATGAGTTTGATGACTGGTACGCAGAACACGAAGAAAACTGTGCATGCAATCACAAAAGTGCCGCTGGTAAAATGGAAGTCAATGGCATTATTGAAATGTTTACACGATCCGAAGAACTTCACAATGTAAAATATACCAACTATATAGATGACGGCGATACAAAACTTTCAAATCTCTTCTGGAAATACAGCCATATGGTGATGAATTGATAGTGACAAAATCGGAGTGCGTTGGACACATGAAAAAGCGAATGGGATCGAGACAAAGATCGGGAAAGAAAAAGACTAAAGGAGTTGGTGGCAAGGGCGATAGCAAGTTAACGGATAAATTGATTTATCCGAAATCCACAATCTGTAAGCGATATGAAAAAAGAAATTTTTGCAACACTTTTTCACAAATTATCGACAGATGCGAAACCAAAGCACGATAATTGTCCGATCGTGCCTAAATCGTGTTGCAAGTGGAGACGCGCTGAGGCAGAGAACAAGTTACACGAATATAAACACCCAGCACCACTTGCAACTAATGTTCAAAATCTCCTTCGTCCCATATACGAAGACCTGTCGTCAAACGATTTATTGCAACGGTGTTTGGGCGGAAATACGCATAGATAGATGAAAGTATTCTAAAACTTTTTTGTCTCTCTGAAATTTTTCCAAAAACGACTAATTTTTGAGAAAAAAAATAGTACAGCAAACACTGACCGTTAAACAACGGGGTTGTCGATCAAGAGTTGGAAAAAAATGTTAGCAGGCTTTGCAATCTTTGTCAAAAATATTTTTGACGTTTAAATGTCAGTTTTTCTTACTATTATTATTGTTTTTAAAATAAACTTTTGAATAAAGTTCTATCGCATTTACGCTCGTTCACTCGACGTTTCAAAATTTTAAATAAAACAATAATAAAGTAAGAAAACCACTGAAATTTAAACGTCAAAAATATTTCTGACAAAGATTGCAAAGCCTACCAAGATCTTTTCATTCAAAATTCATTCCAACTTTCGATTAACAACCCTACAGTTTAACAGTCAGTGTTTGCTTAATTATTTTTTATCTAACTGAAATTTTTCCAATGTATTTATCATCTTCATAAAAAAAATCTAGGCATAAATTGAACGGGGGTGGTTACGTTTAATAGTTTAGAAGGGTAGATTGAAAGTGCAAATAGGGTCAAAACGTGCCCTATTATGAGTTAAACATATTCCCCAAATTTCATTTTCCTAGCGTTTATGGTTTTTGAGAAAAAAAAAATTAAACCAAAATTTTCCGCCATTTTTGGAGGGGTGTAGCTCCTTAAGGGATCCGAAGTCGCCCATGGTTCATATATCAAAGTACCCTTAAAATTAGCTAAAGAATCACCCCTTGAAATTTGTTGCAGTCATTCAGATACACCCTGTATATCGGCCATAGGACTTCTGTAAGCCACCCACCCCCACCCTTTGCATGTGGCTTTTTGAAAAAAATATGAATGTTAAACAAAGTTCATTCAATCACTACACCAAATTTCAACAGTGTATATATTTTTCCCGAAAAGAATTTGAAAAGTATCAATAGTTTTTAGGCCCAACAAGGTAGAAACCCCCCTTAAAGAGCCAAAGTGTGCAGATTGTACTTTCTCAGTATATTTACAGAAATAATTTTTAGAAAAATCCATATGGATCAAGATTTCATCCACAAACAGATTCTTTTTCACTACATTTATACACCGATACTGATGGGATATATTCCTGAGGTGCAACATATATGTATCTCGGAATAGATTGTATCAATTCTGTAACTACTTGGTGTTTTTCTAGCTGCCTTTTTTGCTTGGTAAGTTTTTTACTATGTTCCCTCCATTCTTCCCGATTACGTCTTTTATCTGGATCTGTTAACATTGATATCTTTTTTATTTTATCGCAATTAACTCTGCGGTGATACCGCTCTCTTTCCTTTAATTTAGCAATTTCATAAGCCTCAGGATCTTCTTTTCGTTGCGCTCTCAGTCTTCTCACAGCATCCCTCTTTTTTTGATTGCATATTTTCTTTTTCTTTGAT